GCAGTTAAGGTCGTGCTAACGACTCCATTATGAACGTGTTCTCCGATATAATTACTGTGTTTTCTGTGTAAAAAGCTGCCCTGAGCTGACATTGTGCAGACGTGGTTCCACCCAGGCACAGATGGTTTGTTTCTGTCCCCTTGCTGCATTGCTATTCATGTCACAGTCTCCAGCCGATCCAATAGTTCATAAACACAACAACAGATTTTCCAACGGGCACTCTGGGTTCACACAGCCTTTTTCTCAGGAAATCAAAAAGCTATTAGTGGGAAAATAACCCCACCAAAACCCAGAAAACATTTGAGAGAGAAACTGGACTCCAGTTATCCAGTGACCCTTGTTTCAAAGGGCATCATCATTTCTGTTCCAAAGTCACAAAGTTACTCACTTTTGCTCTTCAGAATCTCCTATGTCAGAAATACAGAGTCATGAAACAGAGGCAGTGGAATGAAATATTTACTCTAAAAATAAACAACAGGATATAAAGTTTCTTATGTGAATTGCAGTCTGAAAGGGGAGAATTACCCAAGGAATGATGACTTCCACTGTCATGCAAAGCTTTGTATCATCATGGTTGCTCCTGAGGAGGCCCCTCAGCTCTTGTGTGGGCACACTGGAAGTGGGAAAGGTCAGTGGCCACAGTGCAAACCCCACAGAAGCAGCATGGGGCCATGTTTCAGGGGTCTTTGTTTCCTCTCTCTGGTTCCTGTGGTACAGGTGAGATTTCTCACCTCTCCAGGTGAGATTTTGGACTTACAGGATCTCAGCTTGAAGGTTTGCTGAGGGGCTGCCCTGGCTGCATTAACCAGAGGTGACTAACTCATTTTGTCTGTGGCAAGCACCGATGGGATGGGGAGGAGCTGAGTTTGGAGAGAGCCACGGAGGGGGAGCCAGCCCTCCCTCAGGACCAGCCTCCGACACCTGCACAGGAGCCTCCTCCTTCCTGAGCTGCCTGCAGGACAGTGGGCCTGTGGGGGACACCCTGAATTTTCCAGTTTATTTTTCAATTTGAGGCAGTTCTGAACTGGGGTTGGTGTTGTGGCAGATTTCCATGGATCAGAAAGCTGACACTGGAAGCAAGATAGGAGAACAGGACTGAGAGGAGTTTGGTTTTTCCTTGACACCATTCCCCTCGTAGCACATCTCAGGGTTTATTTCCCTCCAGGAACATCACCTTGCCAGCCTAGCTGTGCATGGAGAAGCCCCCTGTTCTCCTGGGCTCTGCAGGCTGCCTCTGCCCCCTGAACTGGGCTGGGCCAGGGAGAGGGACAGAGCCCCACGGGAGCTGGGGTGGGGACAGGCAGGGGTGGGACCAGACCTGGCTCCAGGTGCTGCTCAGCCCCCCGTGTTCCTTCCCGTGGCTCTCTGCCCAGCCCAATGCCAGCCCTGCAGCCAGCAGCTCCCCTCCTGCCTCTCCCTGCTGCGGGGTGCTCTCAGGGGGTGCTGGCAGCCCCCCTGCCCCTGGGCTGCCCCTCTGCACTGGGACAGGGGGCTCCTTCCTCCCTGCACATTCCAAACCTCACCAAACATCAAGACACCTAATGGGGAATAGGCAATAAACTTAATATGCATGAAAATATGCATGAAAAGCTCTGCCCCCAACAGCAGCAGGCTGTTTAAAATTTCCATAATGCTAAGCAGTGTCTTGCTCACATACCCATGGATCGTGGTGGCTCTGTTGTCATGGATACTGGTACATACCTTGTTTTCTTTCAGAGATCTATCAAGTATGTGCATTTGGATGTTCTCTGGATTTGCCTGAGTGTTCTAAGCACATTTTTACACTAGTAAATAATATTAAACAGCTGTGTAATTTATGCTGGAAGACTGAACACACTCCAGCTCAGTATTTTAACACCCTTTTTTCACCCTTGAGATTTCCAATCCAAACACTCTGCCCGATGGTATTCTCACCGAGATGGAGCATGACTTGCAGGAACCTGTGTTCTCTCTGTAGGGTTTTTCTCTGAAGAACCCCTCCACGTACCAACCACTCCCCAGCCACCCACAGGCAGGGGAAGCAGTCACCAGTCTGGTTTTCAAGCATGAGCTGATTCCTTTCAAGATAATTTGAAAGACAATCCCAGCCTAAAACCAAAACCTATCAGATTTCTGCATTGATTCTGCTTCATGTTTTTAGGGGAGACAAGAAGAATATTGTAGGCTGCAGGCACTGTGGGGAAGTCTTGGAAGCATGTTCCCCCTCTCTCCTCTCTGGAAAGGCTCCATCTGAAGGTACTGTGCGCCTGAAATGGAAGTTTTAAGTCCCAGCAATGGAAGAAAATCCAAACTCCTGCTTTTGCCTCATTACCTATTCCTTAGTCCGCAGGAACTTTGTGCTACCTTTGGGCTTGACAGCATGAAGCAGATCTCTTGAGCCCCCAGAGTGTGCATCCTCTGTGGCAGTGACAGAGCTTCATTAATGCCACAAACACCACGCCAGAGCTGAGGCCCTCACATTCTGGCTCTGGAGCTGGTAACAAACCCAGGTGATCTCAGGCTCTGTCTGCTGAGTCAGCAGCTAGGTGTAAACTCTGCTGTCTGCTTAGTGCCTGCACCGAGGAGCACAGCTCGAGCAGCTCAGGCTGGCTAATGGGCTCGTGCCTGTGATTTTCAGTATTAAATTCAATTAAGTTTCATTTATCAGCAGCAGAGAAAGAAGATGCTGAAATAATAAGACAAGGGAATGACACTATTCTTAGAAAAGAAGTAACATTTGTCATGATTATAGAACAAAACTGCAATAGAGTCAACTCCCTTATCTGCAGTTTGTGAAGTTGAGAGTAGATCAAATAAACATGGGATAAATATTTGAGATACAAACACATAAACCCCTGCTTCTCAGAGAAAACAACATTTACTTCCGTACAGTGACTCATTACATGCTTCAGATTTGCTTTTAAACTGCACCTGAGGCTGTGACACTGAGTGTGCTTCTTGTCCTGTGGCAAACAGCTGGAGCAAAGCCTGGCCTAAAACACAAAACCAAAGTCTTAAACAACCTGGGGTGGCCAGAGAGACTTGGTAAGCTCCTGAGGAGGAGCAGGGAAACGAGTGGCAGCACAGAAATCTCTCTGGACACTGAGATCTTGTGGTTTTACCTTCTCTTCCAAGCTGGCAGAAACACCAGCCTTGCACACCAGCAGTGACTGGAAATGAGGACGTTTCCAAAAGCAAGAAATTGAGCCCAGACCAGGTGCGAGCCCAGGGCAGGTGTGAGCCCAGGACAGGTGTGATCTCAGGGCAGGTCAGGTGTGATCTCAGGGCAGGTGTGATCTCAGGGCAGGTCAGGTGTGATCTCAGGGCAGGTCAGGTGTGATCTCAGGGCAGGTGTGATCTCAGGGCAGGTCAGGTGTGATCTCAGGGCAGGTCAGGTGTGATCTCAGGGCAGGTGTGAGCTCAGGGCAGGTCAGGTGTGATCTCAGGGCAGGTCAGGTGTGAGCTCAGGGCAGGTGTGATCTGAGGGCAGGTGTGATCTGAGGGCAGGTGTGATCTCAGGGCAGGTGTGATGTCAGGGCACACCTGCAGGTGGATCTGACCTGCAGCTCAATGCAGTGTCTGGGTTGCAGCCCTGTAAGGTGCCAGGCTTGGACTCTGCTGCCTTAACAAGGCCCTTGATGAGAAAATTTCAAAGAAGATCAAAACCTAAGAAAGACCCTGTTATTCAAAGGAGGCCGGTGTCTCGTCTTTCCTTTGTACCAAAAAAAAAAAAAAAAAGGAAAAAAAAGGAAAAAGAAAAAAGGGAAATGTAATTCTGTTTCATTTGTGTGTGCATGAACAAATTAGTTTCAGAAGCAATTTTACAGTAATTATGACCATCTCCAATGGATTAGATTTTCAGAAATAGTCACTCTAATGTCAAGATGAGAACTTTCACGTCCTGATTTTTTTATTTGATGTTCTAACAATTTAAGGGTTCCAATAATTTGCGTGCATGACTAGACTAGAACAAAAACACATTTACTACTTCTGAGTTTTGTGACACTGAAAATTTTATGGTGAAGTGATTTTGACCTTTGGAGGATATAAAAAATTCAATGGTAACATGATCTTTATCTTTCAGCACAGCATGTTATGGTCTGTAGTTTCAGCTCCTATTCCCTGATAAAGAGGTGTGTTTGATCTTTTATTCCTCCTAATACTTCAAGTGTATCATAATTATACATTTATTTGGTAATCACTGTGATGGTGCTGATACAAGAGTCCATTTAGCATTTCTGTGTCTGTGGTACTTCCTTCCATTGAGGATACACTGTGAATCCATCAAGGTAAAGTACAAAGCTTTCTAAATTTATTTTAAGTGGAATTTAAGGCGTATAAACTTCTGGGAAGTTTGGTGAGTTTTGGGGACATCTGCATGACAAAGATCTAGTGTCCTTTTCCATAGTTCTTTGTCCATTTTGATGGGTTTTGTGGCCAGTTTTCAGTGCCAGCCCATTGGAATGGCTGATTCCTGGGATGAGGCTTCATGCCATTTGTGTGGAGTCAACAATTACAAATGATCCATTTGGTGTTCTGTGCAAAATCATCCATCACTGGGCACTGCTAAGTGAGTCTGGGAACATTAAAACTATGTTTAATAGAGCCCACGTGGCAGTACCACTTGGATAGGGTCAGCAGCTGCCAAACACAATTAATCACTTGTTTACTGAGGAAGTGAAGAGATTGGAGAGCAAGAGGAAACAACAGGAAAAAGAAGAAGAACAAGCACGCAAAATTAAACATAATCATTACACAAACAAAGACCATTTACCTCTAGTTTTTCGTCCTCAAATATCTCCTGAAGATTTTCCGTGCTATCTTGCAGGATTAAGCACGTCGATTGAAAAGATGAACCCTGGAGATGTAAGGAAGATATTTTCCCAAGAGAAAGAAGTGCTGTAAATCCCCACCATCAAAAACAGGAATGGATCTCTTGGGTCTCCTTCCCAAAATGGCCAGGAAGGCAGAGACAGATGGGTGGGGTGTTCTGCTGGAGTCTTTGCTAAAGCCTGTCTGAATCAAAGGATGGGCATGGTGAGAGTGTGCAGGAGTGTGCAGGTGTGTGCGGGTGTGTGCGGGTGTGTGCAGGCGTGTGCAGGCGTGTGCAGGTGCAGGCAGGCGTGTGCAGGAGGGTGCGGGTGTGTGCAGGCGTGTGCAGGCGTGTGCAGGTGCAGGCAGGCGTGTGCAGGAGGGTGCGGGTGTGTGCAGGCGTGTGCAGGCGTGTGCAGGTGCAGGCAGGCGTGTGCAGGAGGGTGCGGGTGTGTGCAGGCGTGTGCAGGCGTGTGCAGGTGCAGGCAGGCGTGTGCAGGAGGGTGCGGGTGTGTGCAGGCGTGTGCAGGCGTGTGCAGGTGCAGGCAGGCGTGTGCAGGAGGGTGCGGGTGTGTGCAGGCGTGTGCAGGCGTGTGCAGGTGCAGGCAGGCGTGTGCAGGAGGGTGCGGGTGTGTGCAGGCGTGTGCAGGCGTGTGCAGGTGCAGGCAGGCGTGTGCAGGAGGGTGCGGGTGTGTGCAGGCGTGTGCAGGCGTGTGCAGGTGCAGGCAGGCGTGTGCAGGAGGGTGCGGGTGTGTGCAGGCGTGTGCAGGCGTGTGCAGGTGCAGGCAGGCGTGTGCAGGAGGGTGCGGGTGTGTGCAGGCGTGTGCAGGCGTGTGCAGGTGCAGGCAGGCGTGTGCAGGAGGGTGCGGGTGTGTGCAGGCGTGTGCAGGCGTGTGCAGGTGCAGGCAGGCGTGTGCAGGAGGGTGCGGGTGTGTGCAGGCGTGTGCAGGCGTGTGCAGGTGCAGGCAGGCGTGTGCAGGAGGGTGCGGGTGTGTGCAGGCGTGTGCAGGCGTGTGCAGGTGCAGGCAGGCGTGTGCAGGAGGGTGCGGGTGTGTGCAGGCGTGTGCAGGCGTGTGCAGGTGCAGGCAGGCGTGTGCAGGAGGGTGCGGGTGTGTGCAGGCGTGTGCAGGCGTGTGCAGGTGCAGGCAGGCGTGTGCAGGAGGGTGCGGGTGTGTGCAGGCGTGTGCAGGCGTGTGCAGGTGCAGGCAGGCGTGTGCAGGAGGGTGCGGGTGTGTGCAGGCGTGTGCAGGCGTGTGCAGGTGCAGGCAGGCGTGTGCAGGAGGGTGCGGGTGTGTGCAGGCGTGTGCAGGCGTGTGCAGGTGCAGGCAGGCGTGTGCAGGAGGGTGCGGGTGTGTGCAGGCGTGTGCAGGCGTGTGCAGGTGCAGGCAGGCGTGTGCAGGAGGGTGCGGGTGTGTGCAGGCGTGTGCAGGCGTGTGCAGGTGCAGGCAGGCGTGTGCAGGAGGGTGCGGGTGTGTGCAGGCGTGTGCAGGCGTGTGCAGGTGCAGGCAGGCGTGTGCAGGAGGGTGCGGGTGTGTGCAGGCGTGTGCAGGCGTGTGCAGGTGCAGGCAGGCGTGTGCAGGAGGGTGCGGGTGTGTGCAGGCGTGTGCAGGCGTGTGCAGGTGCAGGCAGGCGTGTGCAGGAGGGTGCGGGTGTGTGCAGGCGTGTGCAGGCGTGTGCAGGTGCAGGCAGGCGTGTGCAGGAGGGTGCGGGTGTGTGCAGGCGTGTGCAGGCGTGTGCAGGTGCAGGCAGGCGTGTGCAGGAGGGTGCGGGTGTGTGCAGGCGTGTGCAGGCGTGTGCAGGTGCAGGCAGGCGTGTGCAGGAGGGTGCGGGTGTGTGCAGGCGTGTGCAGGCGTGTGCAGGTGCAGGCAGGCGTGTGCAGGAGGGTGCGGGTGTGTGCAGGCGTGTGCAGGCGTGTGCAGGTGCAGGCAGGCGTGTGCAGGAGGGTGCGGGTGTGTGCAGGCGTGTGCAGGCGTGTGCAGGTGCAGGCAGGCGTGTGCAGGAGGGTGCGGGTGTGTGCAGGCGTGTGCAGGCGTGTGCAGGTGCAGGCAGGCGTGTGCAGGAGGGTGCGGGTGTGTGCAGGCGTGTGCAGGCGTGTGCAGGTGCAGGCAGGCGTGTGCAGGAGGGTGCGGGTGTGTGCAGGCGTGTGCAGGCGTGTGCAGGTGCAGGCAGGCGTGTGCAGGAGGGTGCGGGTGTGTGCAGGCGTGTGCAGGCGTGTGCAGGTGCAGGCAGGCGTGTGCAGGAGGGTGCGGGTGTGTGCAGGCGTGTGCAGGCGTGTGCAGGTGTGTGCAGGCGTTTGCAGGCATGTGCAGGTGTGTGCAGGAGTGTGCAGGTGCAGGCAGGCGTGTGCAGGAGTGTGCGGGTGTGTGCAGGCGTGTGCAGGTGTGTGCAGGTGTGTGCAGGTGTGTTCAGGCGTGTGCAGGCGTGTGCAGGTGTGTGCAGGTGTGTGCAGGAGTGTGCAGGTGTGTGCAGGTGTGTGCAGGTGCAGGCAGGTGTGTGCAGGCGTGTACAGGTGTGTGCAGGTGTGTGCTGGGGGAGTTCAGTGCATTTCCCTCAGCCCTACAGTACCCCGTGCCAGGAGCACACCCACTGCCTGTTCTGAGCTGCATAGCCAATGACTGAGAACACAGCTTCTGGCTGTCTGGGGTGTGGCAGGAAGCACAAGGCTTTTCTGCCAACTCCCCAGTGGCAGTCTGGCTGGGAGGCTGCCCCGCTCCTTTCCCTGCCTGGCAGGGGTGGGGAGGCCACAGCTGCAGCCCCTGTTGTGCTGCACTGAGCAGGGCAAAGCCTGCTCCTCACTGTGCCCTGCTCCACACCCGGCAGAGGGATGGGAGCTGTGCTGGCTGCTGGAGGAGGCTCAGGAGTCAGGCTCAGGACTGTAGGAAAGGCTGCTGAGGCATCTGGACTGGCCTGAATCAGAACACAGAGGTTTTTAATTCTCGGGCTGGGAGAGCAGTCCCGCCTGGCAGGGCTGTGCTGGGCAGGTCTCAGAGCACCCAGGCCCATCCACCAAGGGGCTCCTGCTCTCAGCAGGAGTGAGCATTCTGACACATCCCAGGAATGCTTTCGTTTAAATGCATCTGATAACCCAGAAAGGGAAAATGGGAATGGGTTGGCAAGTGACCTTTCAAATGGAAGGGCCATGGTAAACTCTGTTTGCTGCTGCTGCACCCTGGAATGCTAAAGGCGTCACACTGTATGCATATTCCCTTCCATTTCCCCATTGTTCTGTCCTTTTTGTTGTTCATATTCCAAAAATTAAATATAATTTCAAAAGGCATAGAATAGTAAGATGTGTTTGGGCTGGTTTATTACCATATCAGATGCATGTTATACTTTTGTCCTAATGCTCCATAGCAAAACACAGCAAGGGCTGCAGCCTTAGACTTCATGCCTTTGTGGAACATACAAATGAGAGTCAGTCTTTATTCTCTAAGCAGGATGGGAAAACAAAATTAGTGCTAGGTCTTGAAGCAATTACCCCCAGGTACCATCCCCTCCTAACCACAGCAAGCTGATGCTGAATGGTGCTTCCTTGAAATCTGAACCTACCCTCTGTTCTTACGAGCAGCCGTGCCTAGACATGAAAAAGCATCAGACATCATCATTCATGTATTAACAATTAATTATTTAGTTATTGGCTCAAAGCAAAGCCAGCACTCCGGGCCTCCAGTTGTTTGCATTCCTCGGGCTTGCAGCCACATGTGTGTGTAGTTGTGTCTTCTGGGAGAAAAGGCCACCTAAAACCCCCCTGAATTCTCACAAGTTTGTCCTGCACTTGCTCCCAGCAGGTTAGTCCTCATGGGGAAATCAGTCCTCACGGGGAAATTAGGTGCTGATCCTTGTTAATAGCCTCTAACCAGATCTTTTCCCAGAGTAAGGCCAGAACACAGCAAAATCTTTTGTTTGAAATCCAATTCTCCTGCACACGCAACCAGTAGCTCCCACTGCTGAACTCAACAAATCGCTGTAACTCCTCTCCTTAAATTTGTTATATTTATGGTACATTTTAGCTGTTCAGATTCAAATGTTGTCAGTATCTGTCTTGTACTAAACATTTTCTGTGTTTGGGCAGACACAGATAAATCTCTATAAGGAGGTGCACACACACACTCAACATGCAATTAGGCTAAATTAATGACCAGCTGACTGCGGATCACCACCGTGCTGGAAGTGAGCTGGGGCAGCTCCTGACGTCGATGGAATTGTTTGGCATTTGAGTAGCACAGAAGAGATGCGAATTGAACTCCATTTTTTTTTTACTGTCTGCAATATTTGTGAACTTTGATTACTGGCTGTGACACCACGGTCAGAGGGTGGCTGCTCAGAGCTGGGAATGCAGAGCTGAGGCAAGGAGCCAATCAGAAATGGCAGAAATGACACCACAAGGGGTGGTCAGGGCTCCTCTGGCACGAGCAGTGGATATTCTTTTGCTGATCAGGTCCCTGTAGTCAGTGGAAGCAGATGATGAGCTCAATGTGTGCTCACACTGAGGGGGATGGCTGCCTCTGGGCTTGGTGCAGGCACAGGTCACTGGGAACTTGGGAAAATAGGAAGTATAGTCTGAGCAGGCACCCTGGGGAGTCATTGATCCTTGCTTTGTTGTCTGGGCTCACAACGATCATAGAATTATAGAATGGTTTGTGTTGGAAGGGACTCTTAAGGGTCGTCTGCTCCTCTGCCATGAGCAGGACCCTCCTGCTGGACCAGCTTGAGCCAGTCTGTGCACTGGTTTGCAGGAGGGACACTGCTCCAGTCTGAGATGCTGGCATGTGAGAGACACCTTTATTTTTCTTTCGGCAAGAATGGGATATATTTCTAGTTCTTGGAAGCTTTTGCTTAGTAAATAACAGAAATTAGTTTCTGGAAGAATCGGAAGCAAAATCTATTACTTTTCTCCTTGTCCTTGAGCCAGTCCCACTGCAGTGCACCCAGCTGGGGTTTGACAGGCAGGGGCTGGCCAAGGTGACCTGTCTGGGAGGACATGCACCAGGCTGTGCTGCTGCTGGGGAGAAGTATTTGTACACGTGTTGCCTGCTATGTAAATACATTTCAAGGGGTGATTTACTGCACGTAGCACTGTTGTAGTTAGATTTGGAAGAGTAAGCCAAAATAGCTGTGAGTTTGTGGTCACCTTGAAGGCACACAGGCTCAGGAACCTTGACAGTGTGCTTAGAAAAAGCAGTGATGATCACGAGTGCTTGGTAATGACCGTGGGTTTTACAGGCAGATCATTTTCACATTCAGAGCAAAAAGATGGCAAGAGAACATTGTTAGTGAGCTCATTAGTCCTCTGAAACTGCCAAGCAAAGCCATTAATGGGGAGAATCAAATTTGATAAGAATGGGATTTGCAAAGGCAGTCTTTGAGGACATGGAAAACGCAAGCGTTTGCTGGGGTTGGTTTCCCAGCTGGCTGTCAAACCTGAACAGAGGAGCCCTGACCCCAGGGGTGCCTCTGCACCTGGCACTGCCCCTGTCCCTGCGTGGCTCTCACTGGATGAGCTCTGCACGGTGTTGGCATTTCCTTGCATCTCTCCTCTGCCTTCATTTACAGGCACAAATAAATAAATAAATAAACAAAATAAATAAATAAATAAGTGCTGATTCATGCCTCTCTTTCCTTCTACTATTTATTTTCCATCCTGTTTTTATTTACCTTATTCTCTGCATTTCCCCGGACCCCTATTGGCTGGCTGTGCCAGAATTTTCCCTGCTACTTCTGTCACCTGATTCCTCACTTTTACAGACTGTTGTTGAGCTGTGGAGGGCTCCCTCCTCCCCTGCACTCGGCCCTGAGTGGGTCTTGCAGGAGCTATGCTGGGTCCTTTATGTGGAGATAAGGGAGTTTCCAGAAACCCTCTGTAAGGAGCCTGGACCCACAGGACCCACAGGTCGCAGGAAGAGCACAAAGCCATGAACAGAGCACGGTGCACATGGTTTGGTGTGGGTGTAGGGGTCCTTGTTTCAATGGGCAGAGCCTGGCAGGGAGGCACCAGCCGTGTCTGGGCAGGCACAGGACACTCCCAGCCCACGTCCAGGGCCATGGCACAGCCCAGCCCTGCAGGGAAGCAGCTCCCAAGCAGGGGGACATGCAGAGCCCCCCTTTATGACAAACACAACGTGACATGATGCACACAATGAACATCAAGAAGTCTGAGTAACCCTGGGAAGGAAAGACGCATGGGTGAAACAAGCCATGTTTTATGAATATTTTTCCTTTTCCCAAGGAGGTAGCTCCTTTTATGTTCCATAAACAAAGCACTGTGGGCTTTTGTTCTTCCAGAAAAACACAGCCCGGCAGGTAAGGAGCAGTTCAGCTTGGAAGTAACATGCTCAGCCCTGAAACCAAGGAGCTTAGACAATCTAAACATTTAATATTTGACTGTTTGCACAGGACCACTGTTATTAATGATAGGATGGATGATCCAGTGTGAAAGTAATCAGTTTTTATGAGCAATATAGCAATAGGAGATTGCATATCCAGTGCCAGAATCAGGGCTTCAGACACAGGGGAAAATGTTCACCTTTATTTATTTATTTAGTTAGTTAGTTAGTTACTCATGGTAAAACTGGCTGGTTTTCCTTTATGGAACCGGAATTACCGTCCTCCTCCAGCGCAGACACTGCTTTCCTTTTAACACTGGCCTCCTTTGTGCTTAATTTCTTAGCAGAAAAGCTGCTGGCTCTGGCCTCTATGCAGCTCTGTGCAGCCTTGGGGTGAGAGATGCTGCACATCTGGCTGTGCCTGGCACTGCACATCTGGCTGTGGGCGATGCTGCTCATCCCTGCTGCACGCCGTGGTGCCATGGGCAGAACAGACAGGATTGGGGTTCATTCTGGGCCAGCACCCTGTGCCTGGGGTGGGAGGGCTGTACCACACCACTGCCAGGGCATCACACACCTCAGGGCTCATGTACCACACCACTGCCAGGGCATCACACATCTCAGGGCTCAGCTGGGTGAATTGCAGAGGTAAAGCCACAAACCTTGAAACCCTGGGTTTGTAACACGTGGGTGGGGGCAGACACTGCTGTGAGCCTCTCTTGGGTTCTGCTCATGTGCAGCAGCTCCTGCCATCCCTATCAGCTGGTTCAGAAGGCTTCTGACATCTGCTCCTCTGGCTGGTCCCAGGGTGGCTGTCAGGCAAGGGGTGCCCTGTCCCCAGTATCCACTGGGTGTTCATATGCCCCCCAAAACTGAGACCTTAAAATGTGCTGCAATGTTGGTTTCACATCCCACATACTAATTAAATTATAAGGAAGTAAGATACTAAAATTTAATGCCTGGAATGTAAAAAAATAAAT